GAGATAAATTTGGGTTTTGAGAACAACCTGTTTATTTGCGCTTGCTTTCTTGATGTAAGAAAGGCGTTCGACACAGTGAGTCACTCTATTTTATTGCAAAAACTTTCAGCTGTTGGTTTCCGGGGTCCCTTTTTGTCCTTACTAACTAATTTCCTGCAAGATCGTTCCCAGCTGGTTTCAATCAAAGGCATACACAGCGTCAAAGTCTCTTTAAAATCTGGTGTCCCACAGGGCTCTGTACTTTCGCCTTTACTCTTCAATATCTATGTAAATGATATGTCTACCTCTGTTTCGAACTACTCCCTTTATCAATACGCGGACGACACTCTTTTGTTAACAAGTCATCTTACTTATTCAAGGGCTATGGAGATGCTCCAGGAATGTTCTTTAGGACTAATGAACTGGTTCGCCCATAATCTTTAGATATCAATGTCTCAAAAACTAAGTTCGTATGTTTTCACAATCCCGTTAAGTTAGTTGATCTAAATACTCCACTTTTCCTCCACACGTCGCACTGTGTCAACTGCCAGTGCACTCCCATCGCTTTCTCAGACACTGTGAAGTATTTAGGAATTATTTTTGATTCTGATCTTTCTTGGAATTCACACCTCACAAGACTGTGTTCTAAGTTAAGGAGCGTTTCTTGCTTAATGTACAACATCAAGGCTTTTCTACCATTTAATCTCAGGAAACTCATAGTTCACTCGTTAGCATATGGCTCCCTCCGCTACGGAATCACCATTTTTGGAAATTGCTCTGGATTATGGCAGGCAAAAATCAATAATATTCTAAAAGGAATGCTGCGTAATGTTTACTACAGGCCTACCACTTCCTCTCAGGATATGTTTCAAATATTATCTATGCCCAACTTTCAATCTCTGTTTGTGGAAACGGTAGTCCTTAGTCATTACTGGAATACTGACTTCAAAACACCTCGTCCGAATATCCGGCAACTGCGAACGGTTCCACGATTTGTTATCACCAAATGTTACACTCGATATGGCAAGAACTTGCGGTCCTTCTACGTTCCTCGGATTTTTAATTCTTTACCTGCTAATTTCCCTGATTTCACTTCCAGAAAAAAGCTTAGAAAATCGCTTCGCCTTCTCCTGTCTTCCGATGAGTCGATCTAAAAATGTATAACATTTTTGTGTGTGTTCTTTTTTGCGTTTTGTATTTTTTTCTCAAACGCCCTTATTGGATTTTATTTGGCAGTTTTTTTTGTCCCCACTAGCATTGCCACCAGGTATGTGTCTTTTGATGGGTGCATCTTGCGTATAGTCCAAAGATGATTGATTAAAATAGTGCTTTTATTTATGGTTACTATTAATGACACAAATATGGTGCTGTCCTCAATATGGTGTATTTGTGATGTAACTCAATTTTGCTTGTGTCAAATTCTGCGTCATATTTATTGTTTTGTTTTGTTTTCATGACTCGTTTTGTGACTGTTCTCATCCACTGAGAATCTCAATCTTCACCTGGACATACCCTGCATCGTGCAACTCTTCAAGGAATGATTCTGTGATTTTTTTCTAGTGACATAGCCTGACTTTCTTTTTATTTTTATTGAATTTTATATTTTCTTGTGTTTCGGAAGCCTAAGCTTCAACTGGAACTATAGTTAATTCTGGTCAAGTTCACAATTTTTTTAATATTTTTCCTTTTTCTTTCTTCTTTTGTGATCATTATTTTGATATCTTTGCAACCTCGGTTTAGTCACACAAGCCCATGAAGGCTTTGACGAACCTGCGTTGTTTTGTGGATACGCTCCTCCATCACAAATAAATTATGAAATTATGAAATTATACTTTGGAATTTTTATTTGCGTGACGGTGCTGAACAAAATGTAAGACCACGATTAAACGAGCTTGGTAAGGGTCCTCGGGACTGAGAAAGGAAAGGAGAGGAACGCTCGTCCTTAGGTGCAATCTATGCGAAAACTGTATTTCGGATTTTTTTTTATTCCAGTATTTTAGTTTTGAGAAATTTCAGTTTAATGATCGATCATCTGCTAAATCGGAGGTTTGCTCAAACTTGCGTGAATGCATGAAATTACATTGACAAACCGGTCAAGTTTTGGGAATTTCTGGCGGGTACAACAATTTATCGCAGGAATTATTCCTTTACTAAGTCATGGTAACCAACAACAACAAAAAAAAAGTGTTCACTTTGAAGAAATGCTTTGCGAGTGTCGCAGTCTCTTGGCTCGCGCAAATACAATTTGTTCGTTTTTTTCAATGTTTACTGTAAAATTACTTTCTGGTAATGGTCATTTCTCACTGACACTTATAAACCATTTTCTTTTTTCAGCATTCAGCTCCAGCTGCTCGCTGCATTTCGCTTCGGCCTCTGCCCCGTTTCACTCGAAGTCCGACTGTACCCGACGCGACGACCTGACAGAGCCAATCAATCGGCGCCAAAAAGTGAATGGTCACGCCGCTCGTTGTCCTTCGAACAGATGGTCGCGCTTATAAGCCACGTACGCGACCGACAGATCAGCGCAATGTTAAAATGTCGACTCTGGTTTGTTGGCAGGCTGGTTGTTGGTCTAAGAATGCGACGACTCCGAGGTTTCACTGTTAGTTTTACACACACCATCAAACTTGTAGTTCGCCAACTGATGATAAGTAGCCGAGATCATACTACTCATGACGTCACGACGAGGCCAATTCTGGTGGTGACGTCATGAACGGAAACTATAAAAGGGCGCCACCGAAATATCTCGTTGCTAATAGACACCGACAAGAGGGGAGAACGAGACAAACACAATTGCGAATTGTGTTGTCTCGTTCTTCCCTCCTTTCCGTGTCAATAAGCGCGACCATGTTTTCGAAAGAGTAGAACATTTTTTTCTTACGCGAGACCGTGGGCCAATGTGCCCCGCTTTCCCTACCAATTCTCAGCAAGGCCCGCAGCTGGCTGAATCGTGCCTTTTTACTCTAATAAAGATGTTTCAAACAACAACAACCTTTTAAGGGGAGCTTCGCTCGTCAGGGTATTAGCTCCGGCGATGTGAAAGCTGCGCACGGCTGCGCATAAATCCCTATATATTTTCACTGTGTGCACCATCAATATTTAAAATCCCCCTGTTTTGCATTATTCGCATTGAATTTGTAATACATACATATGATATTCTCTTGGCCCTACTTTTAATTCGTTCCTGATTTAGTGCATCGGTTTTTCATAAGGAAATCTTACGGTGAATGTTATTTGTATGCTTCGTTAAAGTGTTTTTGCCTGAATCTAAATTTAAAATTCAGAAACACTACATAATAATTTTCTTTTCGCTTTTGAAAATGGCAAGACGCCATTGTCAAGAGCGAAAAGTGGAAACAAGCCTTATTTTGCTTTCCCTTTACTTTACTGCTTCAGGGAACAATAAGGTTTACATTAAAGTTAGCAAAAAGGCAACGCTTCCCGGAAGTTTCCGCGTAGAGCACACGAAGAAACAATGAATATATTAAACAAAACAAAACCTCTCATATAACAAAATGTAAAACTATTTTGACGAAACTTTTTTGCTAACAATCCCACTGGTAACTTTTTTTCTGTGAATAAGTAATTTTGATCGAATGTAAACATAGTCAAAATTTAATAACTTTTTGCATAAATAATTACAAAAAAAAATTATATTTACAGCAAGAACTACGATCTAAATATTTTGTATTGCAGGCGTATTACTCTGAGAGTTGCTCACAAGAAAAGCACAGTCTGCCGTATACTAGTATGTCTCTCTGTAAGCGCGTGGGGATTCTGAGCTCAGGCCGGCTCAGAAGTGCAGACACCGCACGCGACCACGCACACCAAGCTCGAACAATGTCAGAGTCTCAAGAGAGGCACAGGCGATAATGATCGAACTATAAATGAATTTAGTGAAAACAAAAGCCCAAACAAAGAGACAAAAAGTAAAAAAAGAAAGTCAAATCAATGTCAGCGGAGTTGGGTAGCTCCCGAAAGAAAAAAAATTGTAAAGCAGTTCGATTGTTTCCAGAAAACTAAGTTCAAATTTCAATGCATTATATTTTGAACCGAGTACAGTTCTAATCGCAAATAAACCCTTCTGCATCAGAATATTGTAATCCACATGCTTTAATAAAATTACTACTAAGGCAACAAGAACAAAATTTCGCTCGCTCATTTTCGGAGTCCGGAACAAGCGTCATTATTTACTGGGGCAATGATCTTCGTCGACTGACAGGATTACCTTTGCCACTTGTTCCGAGGGCAAGTTTGCGAGCAGGCATCTCCTAGACATAGCAGGCATTGACCTCACATCAACGGCCACAGTGGTGGCCCTGCCAGTGAGAGTGTGCATATTGCAGCACACGTTTCGGACCACCGAATCTGTTTTTGTTCTCGGCAAGAACAAGTAGGAGTGACCACCAGTATGGTGCGATGACCTCAGGCGCAAGCCACGAATACTCCATTTGATCATAACATGTCGAACAGCGAAGGGAACTGACCCAATGAGAGAGTCGGAGCGAGGTACGTGATCACGTAGAGTCAGCGTGCGGTCCTCGTGTCACGTTCTTTGCTCCCTCCTTCTCATTGGATAAAGGCGGGGGGAGTTCCACTAGTCCCGACGCAGCCGATGCTACGGGCTGACGGGACCAATCAGACAGCTTGAAAAGCGCACCATCATGTTGTTCCTCATATTTCTGTACGTGTTCTCTTATTGCTGAATCTCTCATGAACAGGAAAGGCCCAGTGAGTCGCGCTTTTGACGCTGCTCAAATGGTCCCATCACCTCGTAATGGGATCAATCGAGCTGGAACGAAGTACAGATAGCGAGGCCACCTAGTGCCAAATTTTCGCTGTCACCTAAGAGAGGCGAACGACAGGTCGGACAAGAGTGCTGGATCAGTGTTGGGCAGGGACTCGTCGTGTCAGTAAGAACACGACTACCAGTCGAAAGCTGAGTGAGCACTCGTGTCCACCCAATCCAGCGTTTGCCTCTTTCGGTGAGAATCTTCTAGAGCCCAGCGGAGCGTGCTGACCTGCGCGGAGTCGACGCCCTCGAGGAGCGCCCTTGTGCGGTGTCCCGCTCTGACGGTGGCCTTGAGCACGCCGTCCACGTAGACGTGGTAGGCCTCCAGGGAGCCCAGCACCACGTCCGGTGGCAGCCAGCCGATCAGCACGCTCTTGATCAGCTGCCGCTCCATCACCAGCCGCTGCGGTGGAGGCACCGGGAAGCTGCCGCCGCCGCCGCCGCCAACCAATCCTGCGCGACGGACATCCAATGAGACTCCGCGTATAAGTATTTCCATCGGTTATCAATCACTAGGGGTCTGTATTTTAGGGGTTTATTCTTCTTCAACTTGAGGGCTGTTTTATTTTAGTTATATTTTCTTTTGTGGCTTTGGTGTTTCTTGGATGTAAATTTTCGGTATCAGACAGAAAATCCGTGTTTATCGGGGCTGATGTTCAAGAAATAAGGACAGGAACCTAGGATTATCAAGCTCCGGGGAACATATGCGCATGACCTGAGTACTTGAAAATCGTCCTTGTACCGAGAAGAGAAGCAAACGAGATTAGGGGTGTCGTACCGGATAAAGTACCGTAACTAATCCTGGGAAAGTAGCGCCAAGCCCCCCGTATGGTCGTCATTTTGGTTCCTGCAATGAGTCATTTCACCTTGATTTCTCCATTCTTGGTGAGTCGATCTAAATTCGCTGGTGACGTGTAGCTTTATGGAGACGTTTCTGGTATATCGAGATTCTGCTATACCCACATTTCGGTGAAACAAGCGTACACCTTCGTACCGTCACCTCATGCGGCATCGGTGCTTGGAGACATTGAAAATAAATTTCCCGTCTTAAAATACGCAAAAAGACAAACAAAAAACAATCCCACTGTAAGAGATCTGCGGAGATAAGCAGGATTGATAAGTCAGCTGCATGCACAACGCCAAAGACGCTTATATTGGAGAGGAACCTCTCCGGTACGATGATGCTCCATGGCGACCTTGGCGTGACTTGTTCAGAACGACCTTTTTGGAAGCTTCGAAGATTTGAATGGACCGAAATGGCGATTGCCATGGCAACTGAGACACACATCAGCCAACCACTTTGCTAGGTTTGGTCGTCTGTCTGTTGGCATTTTTTTATTTTTTTTTTGTGTCCAGCTAGCAGGAAGGGAAGGCAATGACGCTACTTTCCCATGATGCGGTGATTTTACTTCCCGAGGAAAGAAAAAGTCTCGAACACACTTCACGCCATGTCTGTGTTCCAGCAACACGGTGTAAAGCTCAACTTAAATATACATAGTTAGTCAAAGCTTAAAGATTTTTTCCCATTCAAAGACATATCCAATTCGGATTTTGTCGGTTTTCCCAGATTTTGATGAAATCAGCTAGGGGGTTAATTTTCGGGGTTTATCGGTAAATAGCGGAAAGACACCGAACCTTAGTTATCACCCGAGTAAAAACTGCGAAGACTCTGGGTTGTGGACGAATGCCCTGTGCCTTATATTGCGCGGAAGAGAGTAACTCCGCATGCACAAAACTCTTTCCAAAACCGAGTAGACAAAGATGCCAGGGTGCAGAAGGCGATGATTAGAATGGCTGCAGTACGAAGTCCCACATTTGTTATCCACACGGTGGAATGCTGTTCGTTCCATCGGCGGGAAACACTTTCTTGATAACATTGATGGTAATTAATTTTTATAAAATGTTCAGTGTACTAAATATCTACGCGAGTGCACAAACCTACAGAATATAAAATTTAAAATAAAAATTCTTTCGAGAAATAAAGTTTTGAAGCTAACGCGTAGACCTCCGAATCACTTGCTGCCGGTCTACTAGCAACAACGAGCAGGGTCACTAGTGAAGTCAAATGCTGTGTCCGAGAGCGGACGACGCTTCCTTCTCCACGGCGTTGTGTGTTGTAGTGATAGTGAGCGTCTCTGGCTTTGCTAATTGTGCCTGGTTTAGGCTGTTCGCGGGATTCAATGGAGGGTGGGGGGAATCGGTGAATGGCTGTGGGGTGCAATTACCCCGGGAAGTAATGAAGCTGAGTGGTATCTTATTGGTTTCCCTCTACCGAGATGTCTCTGTGAAGGAAAGAGGTTCCGGGCAGACGACGCGAACGCTCGCCCCTAACGTTCACGTTGTGCTAGAAAACAGTTCGTACCTTGCTAGCAAATAAAACCTTCCATGTTCGGCTTCGAAGCGGTATCTGGGTCCACACGTGGGCGGATCACGGCCACCGCGGGAGGTCCCCTCGGAGGCGATGCGGGCGGATCGAATGTGAACGGCGAATCGTCCGAAATCTCGCGCTGAAAATCTTTAAAACATTTGCTAGTCACTGCTTGACTAAGACAAGCTCGATGAATCGTAGTCCGTCATTTCCCACGGTCGATAACGACGGCCTTCTGACTGCTTCCGACGATGGGCAAAACAGGCTCGTGCTGCCCACGTGCTTATGTATATACAACATCTGACGTCAGAACAAGAGGAAAGACCGGTAAAGTCGCAGGTTAGGTTCGGCTTCTGTTATATCGTATTTCTACGATTAAAAATTATTTATAAATATTTGGGGGAAATTTACTCGGTGCTCTAAACCCAGTTTCTTAAATTCTTCGAAAAAAAAAAAAAAAAACTCGTTTAGTTGAAAACATTCAAGATGACGTATTTAAGACGGCGAGCTAATCCGAAAATCTCTCCAAAGTGCCTATGCAAGTTCCTATTAAGAATGCCAGTGCGTCAAAGACATTATTGCTAGAGACTGTCTCAAATGGTATACGGGGTGTTTCAGCGAAGGCTTTCAAAAATCGCAACATGCAGCGCAACACAGTTGCTTTCATTCTACGAGGAAGGCGAGGCAGTGGTTTCGCGCATCGGTCCACCGGTGTGTAGGGCCGCTGGTGGAAAGATACGCTCCTTATCAGAAACCGAAACCTAAAAACACTACCAAAATAAACGGTTTTTTGTCTGTTTTTTTACGTTATAAAATGCTTCTTTTGCCTTATGTAGTTTTAGTATGAGATTGATTTTGTGGTTTGGGGGGGTTCTTAACAAGGTTCTCTTTTGCACCATATGTTTATTTTCACTAATTAAGGAGCAATTAGCAAATTTCAGTTACTTGATTAGTTCATTAATACGCATTTTTCAATCCTTGACGTCCGCCGCGGCTGGCAGTTTGCTCCCGGAAAGTTTCTTTTTTTTTTTCTTCTTAGCCACCATTTTTCTAGAGATTTTTGAAAGACCTCGTTGAAACATCCTGCATAAATTCCTCAAAGCGTATATTACATTCTACTTAAACAAGAAAGACAACAAAACCCAGCAGAATATTGTTTATCTGACGCCACCCAGGAAGAAATCATTTGAAACTCCAATACCCAAGCTAAAAATAAACACACCAGGGCCCGTTTGCTCGAAGCGCTAACCGCGGCTAAAGTTAGCCGCAGTACCTAGGAGAGGGATTTTGAAATCACGTGACTCGGCTCGGTAGGGATGCGGGGAAACATGGAGGGGCCCCGGTGAGCCAGCGCCGCTCGCTTCGGAACTAATATGTCGTTGTAGCTGAAATATCGGCCGCGTTAGTCAGCAACGAAGGGTGCAGGAAGCTTTCGCTTTGCCTTACCTCACTTAAGTCGCAAAGCATGAGCAATGACCTCCCGCATTTTTTAGATAGTCTTTCGATTCTGGCCATTCCTAAGCCTAAGTGAACGCGATAATTGTCAGCATGGCAACGTCTTTGGAAAGCGGATTGCCTTGACTCAATCGGCCGGGTATTGATAGCACACGAAAACAGAAAGCGTCCCAGTAGACTTTTTCGAAATTACCCAAGCATCAAGGAGAACGCTGGAAGTGTAATTCTACGGTCCGCGCGCGCTGGCCTTCCTCTTATAAAAGATTCGAAGTAAATAATAATAATAAAAAAAATGCAGTGGCTTAGCTCGGCTATGCCAGGATATACGTAGCGTAAGCTTATGCCCACAAAATGAGATGCGCTATCAAGCGGCTCCGGTGCAGCGTCAGACTTGGCTACTGCGCAACGGCGGCGGACAGCTGGGCACGCGGCAGCGCCAGTGCGTTTGCCGTGGCTATGACGTCACTCCTCTGGAATGTGCAGACCGGCGAGGCGCGCGCGGTGGCGGCGGCGGCTCCGGCGCGCCAGCTCTGCGCCGTGTGACGTCACTGCTCCTCACGCATGCGCGGAGCGGCGAACGCGCGCGGCGGCGGCGGCGGAGCGCGCGGCGGCGGCGGCGGAGCGCGCGGCGGCGGCGGAGACGTTGCCATGCCGAAAATTATCGAGTTCATTTAGGTTTAGGAATGACCAGAATCGAAAGACTATCTAAAAAATGCGGCGAGGCCATAGCTCATGCTTTGCGATTTAAGTGAGGTAAGGCAAGGCGAAAGCCTCGTGCACCATTTGTTGCCGACCAACGCGCCCTGCATTGCAGCTACAACGACATATTGGTTCCAAAGCGAGCGGCGCTCACTCACCGGGCACTGCCATGTTTCCCCGCATCCCTACCGAGCCTGTCACGTGATTTCAAAATCCCTGTCCTAGGTACTGCGGCTAAACTTTACCGCGGTTAGCGCTTCGAGCAAACGGGCACTGAGAACCAAAAGCGAGAGAGGAAACGGGATTCTCGCATTTTTTTTTTCGACAAATGTATTCCCAGCAACGACCAACTGACTGTCTTGTCATACACATCGAAGGTTCCCCACATATATTACAGCCAATTGTCGAGGCATAGGCTCGATAAAAACAACAACGAAAAAGAAGCTTAAACAATCGTAAAGTGCACTCGAATGACACTGTATGTCAACGGAAACAGTGCACTACTATCAAACTCTATAAACCGCTTCAGGAAAGTAGTTTTTCGATTTCGATCTTCATAACCGTCCGAGAAAAGGTGTAAGAGTAAAGTAAACTCTAAAAGTCTTCAAGCCGTATTTAAAAATTAAAGCACACATGCAGGAGCGAATAACGAAGTGTAAGTGAGCCAACAATTCGGTAAAGTATCGTCATATCTAACAGGATCTCGAGAATAAAGGAAGAAAGGCGCGGAGATGCAGACAACTATGGTTCGTTTTACGTAATCACGGAACGACCGAAATATACAAGCTGCCCCAACTAGCAAACACCGAGCTTCAACGCCAACATAAAGGAAAACAAAAAGACGCTGGGAGTCTGGCGAAACGCCTTCTTAGAAGTGGCCGAATTTCACCCTACTTGGTCCAAAAAGGTAAGCTTCGTCAGAAAAGGGACTATGATCCGGTATATAAAACATTTAAAAATTCAAAAACACAACCACCACACTTGATTTTTTTTTTTAAATTTGTATAAACAATAAAAAATAGAACAAAAAGAAAACGAGTAACTGACGTGAAACTTTTATCGGTTACCCTTGATACGAAAAGTACGCGGGAAACTTTGCTGCTTCGTAGAGAGCTACGTTAAAGTGTGAATACCGTGTACGGATTTGACAAATTCGAATACCGTATATCCTGAACTTCAGTTCGTAGACTATATATGCTTAAAAGTTAAAATTTTAAGCCGGTGCAAACTATACGAGGACTTGCGTTGTTTTTTTGTTTTTTTTCTCGTCGGTTATTGCGACGAGACGTGACCGACTTCGTAACAGACAAAGTGTGTTAGAGGTGTTTGCAAATTTGTTATAAGTCACTGATTTGACTCCAAATTGGGTCAGCACATTAATAGACACATCTCAACTACTAAACCCAAATAAAAGTAACGATACCTTTTTCTTTTCTTGCGAACTTACTAAAAGCTTTAAATTTGGTTTGAAACGCTGAGAGGCTCAACTGGCAGCATCGAAAACGTGACGTCAAACGGGGCCACTACAGTTTGTTCACAACGAGTTAGAAGAAGTTTGACGGTGTGAAATGAATGCTCGGAAAGCTCATGACAGCAGAACGAAAGAAAACGCGCAATATACCGTGTTCTTAAGATTGCCTGCTGGACTCGCAATGTATACAACATGCGACGTCACCCCATTGGAGAGCTCACGAAAAGTTGTATGTTTTTGCATAAACTTCCTTCGCCGTTTTTACAATAGCTATTTTGAATTTATTTAAGATAATGAATTGCATGCAGGGCAGAGTAAAGCCTTGGCATTCCTAAAATGTGTTTAGTATGGCTAGCACGAAAAATCGCCGATGCGCCGCTTATATATGTATGGTACAAGTTTTCTTGCGGGTTGATAAAGTGGGCATTTGTCGAGATTTGCTGCAAATTAAACTTTTTACGCGCGGACTAGGCGCCAGGTACAGACCACGCTCCGAGTGCGAACTATCTAAGGAACCATTTTTTTTTCCAATTAAGCTTTGCCCCTGCAGGCTATTCACCGAGTGCGGACTATATACCCCGTACTTTGTGAATAGTCACTCGGGTTATATTAGACACCCCGCTATATGAACACAATTTTCGAGGAACAATGGGAACATACGTGCATACTCGTTTCGTTATTATGGACAACTTACATAATGGACGATTTTTTTGGAGGAACGGAGGTGTCCGTGTTAATGAGACACCACTGTATATACATATTATAAAAATGGCTCTGCGTTCACTTTCGGGCGGACAACGCGGAGCACCAGCCACCACGATCAACTGAGCGTTCGCGGAAAAATTACGAGACGCAAAATAAAGAGTATGCTGGAAGGTCGTACTCGGCCCCGATCCCCCGGACTATTTCTGCTAAGAAGCGCGTGATATTTAGATAGACGTCCACGCACCCATGCCGTCGTTTTCCCGTTCTGTCTCGGAGAGGGCGTCTTCGTCCACTTCCTCAATGTCCTCCAGATCGATGTAATCGTTCATACGGTGCAGGTCCTCTGCGTGGAAAAAAAATTAGCAGTTCTGTGTGAATCCACAGTACAATCACAGCTGCGACACGTCACGGCAAAGTCACTGGGCATCGGTGTCGCGTTCCCGCGCACGGTGGGGTCTCGACGGCGAAGTCTCTCGGCTTCGTTATCACGAGCACGCACCTCACTGTTTTCCCTGAGACGCGTCAGCGTCGCCTCCAGCGCCCTCTTTTGGTGTCTCACAACAAGCGCGACGCTGTAGTACGCGGCGACGCCAAGACGCAAGCGTCTGCCGCTTTACGCCGCACTTTTGTCACGTGTCAGCGCGTTTGCCGCTCAGGGATCCACTACCGACGACGTAATGCGCGTGACTTGAAAGGGAAGAATAAGCCTGAACCTTTTTTAATCGGGTAGAGAGACGCGCTCCACGTAACCGAAGCTTTAAATTTCAAACAATTAACTCCGATTAAATTTGGAATTTATTAAGAACGATAAGGAATTTTTCATCGCGACGTCACAGCAACCGTGACCATCTATAGGCTTTCGCTACACGGTACGACACCACGTGCGATAAAACAAATTCCTAGTACATAACGCACGCCGTCAAAGCATGTGGCGTCGCTCCATGTGGCGGTAACGCAACCGTTTCACATGCAGCGAACCCAAGATCGAATCCCGAGAACATCGCGTCAACGGGCGATCTTCTTGAAGCATTGGGCGGTATGGACGATGGACGCCCCACGACAACTACTACGACGACTACAACAACCACAACGACAACAACGGGAGGCCATTTCAAGTGGCGGTAAGAGTCCATAACAGCTATCACCTTTCCCTCTCCCCTAAAACGTCTCCAGGATCTACGCAGCACCGCCTATGCGGAGCGCAAGTTCGTCTGCTTCTTTTGCAGGGGTTGGGTTGACGTCAGAACGCCGAGCTCTGATTGGCTCTAATTAAAGGAGAGTGGGTAGACCTCGAAGCAGCTTGCTTTGAGGTCTACCCACTATGCTTCAAACAGAGCCAATGAGAGCTCGGCGTTCTGACGTCAACCCAACCCCTGCAAAAGAAGCAGACGAACTTGCGCTTCGCATAGCTTGCGTCGGCATCGTCGCCAGCGCGTCTCACAACGCGTGCGACGCTAGCAGGCGGCGAAGCGAAGACGGACGCGTCTGCCGCATTGAGTTTCAGCGTGTTTGCCGCTTGAGGCGCGTTGGGGCAACCACTAACGATGCCGTCATGTACAGGCTTTATCTTCTCTGGGTGGTATTGGTTGGGGTGAGCTATTCTCCGCACCAGGAGGTAGCCGGTGCTGTTCGTCGGCGCCTACGAGTGCGTCCAGGTCTGGGGCGTAGCTGAAACTGGCGCTGCTGTCGTCCGAGTCGCGGTTGCCGTACAGGATGGTCGTCTGGAACTCGAACAGGTCCTCGCCTGCACGGCACCGCGAGAAGCAAACAGTTCCTTTTTGTGCAATGATTCCTATACACAGACTACGAAATAACGTAGATTATACAGCGCTGCGTCTTCTAAACAAGGATGAAAAAAATAATTAAAATGCCTACCTGTAAGCTTCAAGACGAAGTTCGAGGGCACTAGTCCCTTTCGGCCGTCCATGAGCTCACCGTTGAAGAAGCCATCCTGCAGATTTCCAAAAAGCCACAATCAGAGCCGCACCCCACGCTTTAAGGCTGCCCTTCATCTGGTTCGATGGGATCGAGTAACTACGGGTTAGCGAGCAAGTGTATCGAAATGCGTGCTCGCGCGTCGGAACGTAAGGAGGGGCACACCGATCAAAGCACAACACAGAGAACGCGCGGAGAACACGCGGTGACGAGGGGGCAGAGGGCGTGCGCGCATTTGGCTTGCAAAGAGACGCACGAGGTGCGCAAGGAGCGGACGTACAGTCGCCCAAATCTTTAATAATATCACGCGAACGTCGACCGCCGGAACGGAATGCAACGATGCATTCAATTATATACCGCAGCCAATGTACGAGCCATCAAAACCAATCCAGCGCTGTCACCCTGCCACGTGACATCGTGCTTCCACGTGCAGTTGAGCCCAACAGGAAAGCCACTTGACACACTTAGCGATGGACTGGCCAAGATGGCTCGTCGGCTGCGGTAGAACACAAAGTGAAACGAAGTATAAACAGAGTTTCCGCTTGGTGTTTTTTTTTTTATAATTATTTTTATGCTACGGAGCAGGGGCTGTGTGCGATCAGCGGATTAGTCTAGCAGACGACGCTCCCCGGAAAGGGCTTTGTGCGCACGCGCTTAATGTGGAAGTTTTCGTAGACCGCGTTTCCCCCTTCGCTAAGCCCTCCGCAACGAAGAAGCCGCTACTGCGCCGCCCATGGCCTTGACCGTAGAGTTCTGGGTATCCTAGCGGGTTGCGGAGAGCGTTGCGGGACGGCGAAAACGGTCTACGAAAACTCCCTAATCTCTCCCGCGACGCTGCATTTCTCCGCGGCACGGCACTGCCCGTCCCGCCTGTCGACGCTCGCGTGATATTATTAAAACATTGGGCGACTGTACTTGCACGCCGTATACGGATAGCAACTGAGGGAAAGGAGGATGTGAGAACGCGAACACCGGCGTCCAACGTTCGGCGTTCGAACAACGAGTAGAGGCAAAGGCAGCTAGCATGGTGCTTATACTCACTGATCATTCCGACCGGAGCTCGGTGCTTTGGCATCTCCGCATTCTTCTCATCTCCTCCTCTACCTTAGTTTCTGTCCGTATACACAAACTCATCTTTGTTACGTGACGGCGCGGTGGTGGCGCGTCCGGCGTACTTCCGGTCTCTGGCTGTCATGCAGGACGTGCATTTCCGCGTTGTTTTGAAAAAAAAAAAAAAAAAAAAAAACGACAAAAATCTGCTTTTTTGTCAAAACGCCGCGACTGGGGCTGTACCAAAAGAGTCAAAAAAGAAGGGTTTGGATTTGGGCTAGTTGGTTGAACATGTTTGGGGTTAAAAGCGCTAAAAACGACGGACGAGTAGGAGACACACACCACAGAGCGCTACTTGCAACTGGTTTATTATTGGAAAAACCACACGTACCGCGAAACCAACAAGACACACATCCGATTCAGTTCCAACCGTCGCTAATCACATTTCTTACTCTTACACCATGCATGATCGTAAAAACGATAACTCTGATTCAAACAGGGTTATCGATGGGGCACTTACACACGTACCCTCGTCACACTCGGAAATAAAAAAAAATATATGAAATGAAATAGAGTTCGGTGATGGTTCAGGGCGGGACATCGTGCACGTAGAAAAACTGGAACCGTATCTAGAGCCTGTTGCAGAATTTTCACTCTCCTAAAACTGTTCAATAGAAGATTGTTTTATACTTGTACAGAACTTGCAATTACCACGTGGGACGATTGTGTCGTGTCTTTACTTGAATGTTGTATTATATGTGTACAGGACTTGCAATTACCGCTTCGGACGATTGTGTTTTGCGTGGACTTGAATACTGTTTTATACGTGTACAGCACTTGCAACTATCGCGTGTTTTGTGTGTGCTTTAAGTGTCTTCATAACACCAGTTTCTTTGCGTATTGTGTGCGTCGGGTCGACGCCTTTTTGAGGCGGCGGCATGTGACGGTGTCGCGTGAACGCTGGGAGAAAAAGGAAGGAAGAAGAAGATCGAGCAGAAAAAGAAAAAGAATGTCACCACGCCTCAACAGAGCCGAACATTAAAAGAGATATTTCGACGACCAATCGAGCTTCGTCGCACTGTTATCTCCCTTGTCTTTTTATTTTTGTTTCGTGCCAAGATGACGGTGTTGTCTAAATAGGGTAAACACTCACACCTAGTGCAATGCACTGCGAGACTGCCAGAAGGGGCTGACCTGATAGACAGGGCAAGTTCCCTCAGTCTTTCGTTCACGCATCGCCCCGACTGCCCCACGTATACCCTCCCACAAGACAGAGGAATTCTGTACAGTGTACAGAATTCCTCTGTCTTGTGGGAGGGTATACGTGGGGCAGTCTTCCTCTGTCTTGTGGGAGGGTATACGTAGCACAGTCGGGGCGATGAGTGAACGAAAGACTGAGGGAACATGCCCTGTCATTGAGGTCAGCCCCCTCTGGCAATCTAGCAGTGCATTGGAGTAGGTGTGAGTGTTTACCCTATTTAGACAACACCGTCATCTTGGCACGAAACAAAAATAGAAAGACAAGGGAGATAACGGAAGCGTTTTTTATTTCCGAGTGTGACGAGGGTACGTGTGTAAGTGCCCCATCGATAACCCTGTTTGAATCGGAGTTACTGTTTTTACGATCATGCATGGTGTAAGAGTAAGAAATGTGATTAGCGACGGTTGGAACTGAATCGGATGTGTGTCTTGTTGGTTTCGCGGTACGTGTGGTTTTTCCAATAATAAACCAGTTGCAAGTAGCGCTCTCTGGTGTGTGTCTCTCCTACTCGTCCGTCGTTTTTAGCGCTTTTAACCCCTAAACGAGTCAAGAAAGGTTTGAAGGTCAGTTTTCATGTGCTCAGTTCGTTCGAGAACGTGGATAGGTGGACGGATACTTCTGGTCGTCAGGCTTATTTGTTTTGTTCTAACATGAACACGGGAAAACTGTCAAGTTGTACCGACCACCTGCGGACTTTAAGTTCAGTGCGTATTCAAATTTAAACGGCCGCCTGATCGTTCGAACTGTCGTCTGCTCTTTCAAACGTTTGTGCTAGTCGTCTGGTCTTTGAAATGACTGCGGCCCGCGGACCAAACGTTGGCCCGGTAATTGCGATAAGAAGTAAATGCAGGACTCAAAAGACTTTTAAGTTCGAATGATGGTTGGAGTAGGTACGCTTTGTGTAAACAGTAGATACAAGAAGATGTTGATCATTGTTATCAGTGGCCATCACCGACTTGTTATTCCCGATTCACTTGGTCCGATTCTGCTTGCGATTTTCAGTATTGACGTCGACCATCTCAACTACAGTTCACGCCTTTGCAGCCCGAGCGACGTCGCGACTGAAAACTGCAAGCGGAATCTCAGCATGCGAATCAGGCTTTAGCGTCCATTCCGCGACGTCCACGCGGAATTAACCGACGCATGTCACATTATTCAAGCGCAGCTTTACGCTGTAACGTGCCTCGTTAATTTCGCTGAGGCCGCTCAAGTAGTCAGACGTTGCCGCAAGAAGTAGGATCAACGATTGCAACGCGAAGAACGACACGGGACTCGCACCGACGCCGACAAGATCGCACTCCAACGCTTCGTGTATGGGCGACGGCGAGCTTCTTGCCCACACTTCATCGCGCATGCGCGCCGCCGGTGGCGTCCGCTAGGGGCGCTCCGGTTTGTTTATAAACATGAGTTGGTCTATAGACCAACGCGCGGCTGACATTACGACGCTGCGGTGGTGCTGGTGTTGGCAGGCGCATGCGCAGACGCTTTTTACGTCATGCGAGTTTGGTTTGTGCGCACGCGAACGCTCATCGACAAGTGCAGTGTAGACAAACTAGGTTTATGTTTACCCACTAATCATTCCAACCAGAGCTCGGCGTTCTGACGTCCCTCTCGTTTCCTCTTTTCCCTCAGTTTCTCGGCGCTTAGGACTGCCTCCTTCCGTCTTCTGTCTACAAAACCTAGCAGGGACTTTGATCTGGACACTTGGCGAAAAACTCTGCGAGGAATCCGGCGGCCGCGATGGGCCGGGGCCGCGCTTGGCCTTGGCGCCGTCCAATCGAGGCGGTCGAATTCTTCGCCGACTTTTTCGCCAGGTGTCCAGATTAGAGCCCCAGGACGGCATTTGAGCAAAGAAGCGCCGAGTATGCCACACTCGCCTCGTCCATGTCTCCGAAGATGAGGATGTAGTCGCCGGCGTTCAGGTAGAGCTCTGCCTCGGGGTGCTCGTTGGGCGACTGCTTGAGCGGGTCGTAGCTGTAGCGCGCCACGTAGACGCGGCAGCGGCCCCGGCCCGGAAGGTCCACGAACTCCACGGACTCCACGCCCAGGGAGTCCTCTTCTGAACCGGGCTGGTGATGCTGCTGCTGCTGCTGTTGTTGAAGCTGATGCTGTTGGCTACCGGGCGCCGACATGGCTGCGCGTCCACACGAAAACACAGCAGCATACGCTATATTTTTGTCGACACGAGAAAACAAACAAAACAAAAAAATGTTATATATATATATATATATATATATATATATATATATATATATATATTCCAAGAGAGCTCTAAACGCGTAGCTTTTATGGGTCATGGTGCACTGTGATGTCATAGTGCAACGCAGAAAACGATGACCCGAGGATTTCCTCTCTTAGTGGTAGTAAAAGACTTTTATTTAAATCCCTTAGGCCAGGGGTCTCAAACTCATTCGAGTGTGGGGGCCAGATATTGCACGCCCGAAAGAACGAGGGCCAACGGGGAGAAAAGGCAATATTTTGCTATTTTGGAACAAAAATATAAACAAACAAACAGCAGTGGTCTTTCACGTTGTAAAGCAGCCGACTGTCCCAGTGACACCCCAGAGGTTTTCTAGACAACGAACCTTGTGCTCTCTGCTTTTTGAAAGCTAACCGTTTTGCTAACTTTAGCATGCATTTCCATGTACGATTACTTTAGACCCACACCTGATGTAATAAGAAGAATTAAAACATCGCGACATCACAGTACTGGCAGTTTTGAACAGAACGAGAGCAAGCAAACCGCCCTTGCCCAGTCACACAATTCACTAGGCTCAAAAGGCACATAAACTTCCGTTCATACGGCAGTTTCTGCTTTCCTGACGATTTCTATAAAAGCGTTATAAGAACATTATTTCATTTTAAAGGTATTGTCTGACAGCTAGAAGCCCCAGCTTATGGCTTTGTTTTTGACAGTTGCTCTTGTCAAGCAACTGTTTGCGCAGCCGAGGTGCCTCCTGGGGCAAAACTGAGCTCGCGCTTGTACCCTACACTCTCAGAAAAAAGGGTATATTTTTACACCCTGTGTCCCATATGATAGACCCCAAAACTTCACTTCGACGTACAGCGCCCTATCGTCGAACAGACGGCTCCAAATTTTACGAGGGGCTTGATAGCCGTGTGGTACAACTTATTAAAATAGCTAATGAACGTGTTACTGACAATAAAATAAATAATCGGGGTTTTCTTGGCCCTACTGCAAAAAATCTGTTTCCTTTCTGTGGTCTTTGATACGCACTTTAGCTATTTAAAAAGTTTTATCGCTCCGTTATCAAGCCCCTTGTAAAATTTGAGGCCGTCTGTTCGACTATAGTGCGCTGTACGTTGTGGGAGGGAGCCACCGGTTCCCCTTCCCCGAGAAGGCGGGAGCCGCGGACGTTCCGGGCGAAGCCGTCTGACTTCGAGCCTGGTCGCTCCGTATAGTGTCGGAGAGACTACGTCACCATGCTGGCTTACTCTCTCGCACTCCTCCACGCGTATTCCCGATTTCGGGGGAACAGCGATATCACGCGACGGAGAGTCGGGCCTGCCCTCCAAGTGGACGGTCGTGTGGTCGAGGAGTCCTGGATTGGACTCCGGGCAACGGGTCGAGTCGCGGCGCGAGCTCATCCGACCGGCGATGACTCCACGCTAGTGATTCCCCTGGCTCTAACAGTGGGCGTCCCCACTACCTGTGGACGTCCGTCTGCCGAGAGCCCTGGCCCCGAACTCCTGCGACGACGGGTAGCGGCGTGAGCTCGTCCGACCGGCGATGACTCCGCTCGCAATTACCCCTTTGGCTCTCAGGTCGGCGGGCGATGCGGGCACACTGTGTCCGCGGCTCGCTTGACCGCAGTGTCTTGTTGGGGACCCCTGGTACTCAACAAACGCTGCTGGATACCGCGATCATCGTTGTTGGCATGGCGTTGGCCGAACCCGGCGCGACGACCGCCCTCGCTCGTAGCCGTCGGCCGCGCGGTGGGACGGGCATCGGATTCCCCTTTCACCGTACAGGTCCCAGGACGTAAAGGTGCATGATCCTCCCTCCTTTTATTCCCACAACGTCGAACTGAAGTTTTGGGGCGTACTATATGGGACAAAAGGGTGTAAGGTGACAACCTTTTTTTAAGAGTTTAGTAGTATTGCCATTCCGGTTGATTTACATGAGAAAAGAATGAGAAGCCAATATATAGACGAAGCAGTACTCCTTCCAAAATATAAGCAAACCAGTGAAAGGTGCGTGAACACGTTATATGAGCAGGGTTGCCGTTTGAGCGGAAATTAATTGACGATATAAAACTATTATTTATGGCGCATGTGACGCTCGAGGCATGGGAACGGGGCTCGCAGCCGCGGGACGCTTGCGGGCCGCTTCCCAGAGCGTCGGGGGCCGAGTGTTTGAGACCCCTGCCTTAGGCGATGAGTCCTCTTAGATCTCGACGCCGTTCGAGCACCACGGTCAGGCAAAAAACTGCCGTTCACACGATGACGTCAACAACATAACGTCACCATCGAGGCCGCATGTGAGCACGGGCACAAAAACCTTAGGAGCTGGTCCTAGAACTGCTGCGGATTTTAAAAGCCTTAAGAAAAGTTCAACACCTGGTATGTGTCCTTTGAGGGGGCTGTGACAGGCGCTGCCACTGGTTTGCGAGTCTTTATGAGTGGTATTAAAAAAGAGCCTCCTTGAAAGCCTCAATGAAGTAGCCGACGGTTCCGAAAAGAAATTTAGGCTCTCCGGGGACATGCGAAAGGTAGGTGTCATTCTGAAACATCCACAAGTTTTATTTTCTTGTTTTGTTTTTTCAAGTTTTTTTTTTAGTTTTAATCAGCCTCGTCTTTGGCTTAGTGTGATTTGTGTTTTCTAGAAACCCTTCAGTACTCTTTCTTTTTCTGGCGTGCTGAAACGTGTTGGCCCCAGTGTGCAAATAGCCCTTTCGGTTCTGGATTAGACGGCAGGTTTTCGAGCACTGGCGAGAACAAGTAAACGCTCTATCTTCGGAAAATCCTAGCTTAGAGCACTGTCGGACGTAATTCACTTTTACGGTGAACGAATGGATGCGCAAAAAATTCGGAAACATGCGCGGGCCGGAAATGTGGCAGGGCAACCCGTTAGATGGCGCCACTGAGTTTATAAACAAACAAAAAAGGGCGACTAGGAAGTTGAGCTAAGAGCATGCTTGACTGGCTTATATTTTCAGGACGATACATTGTAAGTTAAACACATCTACAGGCACTCCGATTCTAAGCGCAGTATCGGGCTTTCGAGCTCACGGCAAACGAGAGCTGTAAGTAAATAAGTTTCACAGGGAGGTCTAAAAAAAGTTGGAGCACAACGCTCACTTATAAGGACGGTTCTAAGGATTAAAATCTGGAACACACGTGGGAAGAACATACGGGAAATAGTACGAAATTCGAAACTTGCAAAAATAGTTTCACACCGGTCGCTAAACTTGAACCACTGGTGGTGTATTACTTGTAGAGAAATTGCACCTTATGCTTTTACAAAACCCTACATAAGGCATGCATAGTGTAATTACCGTCACCTTTTCAAAATAGCGGCGAAAGAGGAATTTCGCCCGATATTTCACACACATATTCCGTTCATTAACCATGACTGCAAGCAATGGCAGTTGTATCCAATATCTTTAAGATCGACGCCGCTCGGGTTGTCAGTAACGAAACATAGCCCACGGGTGTGTTTCAGGATATCGTTCGGAGCTTTATTTGTATTCCTGACTTCACCAAAAGCCAAAAAAGAAAAAAAAAAAGAACTGAAGCAGTCTTAAAGAGGTATAGGTAACCACTTCGAGGACACCAAAGATGGCGTGTATTTCGTGTGCCTCGATGGGATAACAAGCATACTGAGCCATTATAATAGTTACGCTAATATGATGCTTTCCACTCTCCACAGCATAAGGGCCCGGATGATTATTTTGCTCAGAATTAAACAATATATTTATGTGTGAAGGATTTTTATACGTACATGGTTCGGAAATAGTGGCGTACGTCGCCAATGTCCGCATCATCATCATGATAAATATTAGGTTTCTTTGTGCCTTTTGTATTAGTTCCTCAATCCGTCGAAGTTGGTCTAGAATGTCAGTGCACAAAAACAAAACAAATCGCACATAAGGCACGAGGTCAAGAAACATGTACCGAAGAATCAGTAGAGAAAGCAAAAAAAAACTTATAAAAAGTAGCACTAAACTAAAAAAAAAAAAAGAAAAAGAAAAGAGGTCTGGGGTGACGAAAACAATATCTGGAGAAGGGGAACAAGGGGGATAAAGTTTTCTTTTGCACAACATAGAGACAGCCCATCACGGCAAAGGATACAAGGATCCGAGCAAATGACGAAGCTCATCATAGAAATAAACTCGAACAATGTGATGTGCAAAGGGACACCGAACAAGAGAAACGTCACGCCCATTGTTCCTGCACAGATCACATTGGACCCTAGTATTGTTCGCCGTGATTCGTTGTGTCGTGTTAGTAGACTCGCAGACATTTTTTCTTATAATGTACGGTTTCTCCATGCCGTAACAGTATTTCAATATACTCTTTTTTTATGTTTGAGAAACAATTAATTTTTATAGAGTCATTACTGTTTGCAAAAGTATCCCAAGATTGCTTTTTCCGCACTGGTGCGAAACGAAAACGGCCATGGCTGCCAGCGCTTGCGGAGTGCTCAACGAACGCAGCTCGTCGCGAGGCTCGTCTATTTTTACGAGTGCGAGTCATTTTGCGTTCACCGAGGTGTTTAGAAGATCTCCTCAACCGACTTAGTTTGCAGCGAACAACTGTCGCAAGTACGCGCCTTCGGAAGCGCTGTGCGGGTGCCTGTTTTCGTAGCGGGACGGGCCTAAGCCTAGACGTCCCACGTCAACTATGTTGCTCGATCTGGCTTCATTGGTTCGACTGCGCGTGTTGATGCCGAATAAAGATGCTGGTTCCCGTAAAAGCGGCCCCGCTGCTCTGTGAATTGTGCAACCGTCCTGATTGCAACCGTTTGTCCGGATGCAGTCGAGCGTTCGGCTCGGATCAATATTGTCCAGCTACGTTCCTGTCATTTCGCTTAGAAAGGGAAGTAGCTCTCAAGCCTTGCAATACACCTGGCCTGTTGCCAGGTGCACTGCAAGTTCTCTCAATTGCGTCTAACGGCGTAAATATTGCAAAAAAACAAAAAAATTCCGTGGGAAAAAACGACGTCTTTTCTTTGTATCTTTAATAAAAATCTTTTTTTTTTTCATATCAGTGTCTTTTTAAGCTGTCCGTGACTACCCGAAAAGCGCGGTGATCTGACTCACGGGCCATGAGCATTCCGTGGGAGTCCTGCCTGACGGTGGGCGTGGCCACGTGGTGCATGCGCGCCAGTCCCGGGGACACAGCGCCCAGGACCCCGTTGGGGGGCTCGGACACGGCCGGCAGCGTGGGCAGCGTCAGGCCCCCGAGGCTGCCGCGCCCGCCGGCAGAGACCCCGAGGCTGGACCGGGACGCGGCCACGGGCGCCAGTGCTCCGTGGTGGGACCCCGTCAGGGTGGTGCTGAGGGACGTCGTTGAGCACATCCGGGTGTGGTAGCCCGTGCACGACGAACCTACGGGGAGTGGCGAAGCGCAAGGACACAGTGCTGTCTTGAGGGGAGCGCGACGGAGCTGGTTCCATCGAAGAAGCGCTCATGTGAGTTTATTTCAAATTTCCAGCAACCAAGAACTGAAAAACTGTATACAATAGCAACGAGACAGCTGAGGCGTTCGTCACAGAGCCTACACTGTACTTAATTCTATACCTAATAAAGAATTATAAGCTTTCCGTTTGGTTTTGTGCATTCTGGAAGCCACAGCAGGAACCAGCGTCAACTAGAATCCAACTGGTTCCAGTTCAACTGGTTTACTGCCAACTTTCCGAGCTGCATCTGAGGCCATTTCAACTGGGAATATGGGTAATAAACTAGTTGAACTGGGACCAGTTGTATCCCAGTTGGAAATTTTCGCCTGGCGAAGGGGCACATTATGTAGTTATCATCAACTCTGTTTATACAAATGAAAAAAAGGGGGAGGGGGAAAGGCAGAAAGTAACGAATGGAAAAAAACACTCATAACTTTTAGCTCCTCCACCACCATATAGACACGAGTATCAGATCAAAAACCTCGCAGGTGTATTGATCACCTTGTACCCCGTCATCACAGATAACTGTACCAGAGAGTTCAACTACTTGCGGCCACTTTTTCCTCGCTATACCACGCAAAGGGTTCTGGAAATTACACATGCTCTACGCCTGACACACTCATATCACAGCAAGAATCTCACCAATAAGGGCGAGCAATCCATGCTGAGAGAAATAGGCTGAATTGATTGTGAAGCAGTTAACCGTGGTGGGAAGTTGAGGAGGGTACCTATCCCACACGAGACCCACCTATTAAATTCGTTCCGAATAACGATTTATTGGTTGTTACATACACCAAAATTGTACTTAGGCGTTTACCTTTTTTTTTGTTTTTTTGTTGCAAATATAATTTGCTGCAACGGAATGCGTGCTCTCCGGGAAGTATACGCGAGGGCATTTCTTGGAGTGACTACTGGAAAAACGGTAGCTGCCTCATTCACTATCAATGGACTTGTCCCCCAAGACGATTTCGAAATCCAAAGCCGGAAAGAGCATGCAGAAAGGAGCAATTCGCTGTATGTTGTTAAACCGTGCCAAACTTTTGCCTAGTCTCCTCTACACCAATAACCATTGAAAACATCGCCAAATGATCGTGGAATCATAAAAACATGAGAACCACACTTTGCCTTTAATAAAATTAGGGATTTGACGGCATTGTGTTTACGATTATTGATTCAGCCACAACTCTTTTTACTCTGTGTTTCGAAGGTACCTTTAAAATAAAAAGGTCAAAGTCTTTACAGGAGAAATGCCCGCACACCAACTTCCCAACGAAGAGAAAGTCTCAATCATCTCGTGCCTCTGTTTGAAACATTGAAGCAAACACTAGTCTTCTCTGTAAACAAAAAAGCGGGAGGTGGGACAGCTTCGCAGGATTGAGCGGAGCCTACCTAGACAAGCCCTCTTCTTGTCGAGCTCGGCTAAGATGCGGTTGTCTTGTTCCAACTTGGCCATCAGCCCGTCCAGTTCTTGCATGGTGATGGTCGATCCTGGCGGCAGCAGAGAAGTTCCACAGTCAGACTCTTCTCGACAACGTTCTTGAGCCGGCTGGTGCAATTCCGCAACCAGCAGAAGCGCACCTCGGATGGAGTTCGGGACAATTGGGGGAATAGAGGCGGAAGGAAAGAGCGCTCACTTTGTAACGCCCTGGACCTGAGCTGAGAGTAGAGCTGCCTCGTTCGGTGTGGTTCCATCGACAGCTGATCAATGGCAGGAGATGAAAAGGACGATTCTGCGCGCAGAGGGGAAGTGCCCATGTCGGACAGCCCAGAAGAAAATCATAATCGCGCTTCCCCAATAAAACTCCCAAGCGTATACTTTCCCTTCCTGGAGCACAGGACATATAGCACCCCATGGCACGCTTCCTGAGTGAACACGGTAAAAAAGTATTTCGAGAGATAGCAATCTGTAAACCTTGTTGCCACCTAGGGCGTTCGCTGTCGGAACGGCTCGGCTTAAGGACCGTACCGCGGAACCGCATGGCTTGAACTAGTAATTTGTGCACTATATTCTAGGCAGTCCTTCAAAAGACCTAACCGCCTGTGGAAGTAAAGCGGCAAGGCGTTTGTCTTACCGGTGCACAATGCAGGTTATTACATGTTGGATACTTTATATGCATAGAAGATAATAATAGTAGGAGGAAGTTCTCAAGGTGGAGAATATTAACCGAAGAATAAATTGACTTCCACCTGAGATGGAGCGGAACTCCCCCGCTCTAGGCGTTGGTGGTAGCCGAAAACTCCGCTTGGCCCGGGATTTCTCCGGCTGTTCAAGACGGGAGGAGCGCTCTATCAGCTGAGCTAACCAGCATTCGCCGTCAGTAGACTAAACGGATGTAAAACATTGCCACCAGTCTTAATCGTAAAAGGTCAAAAGAGTGAGGATGAGACATCATATGGTTAGAGGATGATGACTTCAGGAGAAGTGGCAGCTGTTAACATATGTTTGCTCTATTGAGGGATAGCTCCTGATTAGCTGAGTTGGTAGATCGCTCCGCTTTTACTCGAGAGGTGCCGAAATAAAATCCCGGACTAAACAGATTTTTTTTCTTTTTCCAGAGACCATTTGTTGTTTGGAGGGGGCGAGTTGAGCTTCATTTGAAGTGGAAGCCAATTTATTCTTGCTTGCTTTACACGTTGTAAAGCCATTTTGTTCCAGCTGGCCATATCCCACATTACGGCGCACTGTCAGAGGCGCAATCTGGAATCGGTAACGAGACGGCTCTGCGCCTAAAGGCTACCAAAAATATTATCAGATCAGTGGTTCAAAAATATATGCAGAAACATTAAGCTCGACGTTTAAAATCCATTAGCGCTGCGTCATTCATAGCCTTCACTTAGCAGGTGAAAACCACGTCAATGGGACCTTAACACTGTTGAGGTTAGGAATCACACTGCGCTATTCGATTTGACCTATATTCGCACACCCCTACTTAAAGAAAACTTTCTTAGCCGGTTATTGGACAGATGCTTCATGTTTCTTATTTACCGATGACAATACCTCACAAAATAAAGCAGATGAGGATGGGTCACAATTAGGAGTGTGCAAATACTGAATACAATCGAATAGCGCAGAGTCATTCCTAGCTTGACAACACCTCAAAAAGAACAAGTATGTCGTGGGCTTCCCTGGCACTGCTGTGAAGATTATAAATGGCGAAGCACCATTCGATTTGAACTACTACTGGCACGCCGCACACCTCTAGTCATCATCCTTGCATAGGTTAGTAGACTAAACGCATACAACACGGCGCCAATAATTTGACTTAACCATGTTCGTCTATAATTGTTATGTTGTACTACCAACTCCTACTGGGAAGACACAAAGAGCCCACATTTTATTTCGCATTAGGTCTACGCAACAAGCCGATAGGACCAATTAAAGAGCGTCAAAAAACGCAACGTCACGCTGTTCGTCGTTTTCTTAACATGATCAATCATCATTAAACTAATCATGTACAGGGAAGGCCCATTGACTTGCGCTTTTAGTGTGTTTGTGCCTTCGACAGCGCTCGGACGTTTCATAAAACGAAGTGTAGATAATGGCCAGCGAGGCTGCCGGGTAACATACTTCAAGTGCCTCTTTTTCTTCATTCATAAAAGCGAAGATTGAGTACAGTTTTAAGCCTAAAAAATCGGTGCTCCAGTTCAGTTCCATGTCTACCAAGGGCCCTATGGACTCGTCGAACAGAAAGCTGAGACCGAATTTTAAGGAGCAGGCCAATTGAACTCCGTCGACGATGACACCGTACTTTTGTCACCGATATCCGATCGGCGTGCTCCGCGAACTTTTGGGCTCCGATGTTACTGAACGCACGGTCCCTCTATTTCGGCAGCAGCTGCGCAGCGTTTGAGCGCGGCACTCACTGAGCTGCGACTGGAGCAGCATGGAGGCGACGGACGGCGTGAGCGGCTCGTGGCTGACCACCTGCCCCTGCGAGTCTCCGGCCTCGATGCTCTGCCGCAGCCGCTCCAGGTTCGCCACGGACACCGGGGAACCTGCAGGGAGGGAGACGAGAGGCCACAAGTCAATGCTTGAGTATTATCTTGGTTCGTCCGCCGATTACGACGATACTCTTTTATACGGAAGGGTAACCGAAGAGGAGAAGAATGCGCGCGGTGACATCAGAGCGTCGAGCTCCGATTGGCAGGATTAGAGGGTAGGCGCAAAGGCTAGCTGCTTTCCTCTTTCTCTGTCTCCCTGCAATCAGAGCAAACGAGAGCATCGCGTCTGCTCCTCCTCATGCAGTGTCTCGCGTTGGAGCGCCGGAGACGCCGGCGCTCCAACGCATTCGAAGAGCGAGCAGAGATAAAAGGCAGCTAGCCTTAGCGTCTTTACCCTCTAATCCTTCGAATCAGAGCTCGGCGCTCTCATCTCCTCCTCTCTCACTGTTTCTCTCCGCATACTCTGCTGATGAAGGGATGAAGCCAGCTAATTCAGATCCAGACGTGCGTCGTCACGGTCCTCGTTATGTTTGTGCGGTTGATATATCCGGTTAAACCAATCACGCGCGCAGTACATGGGCCACCACCTTGCACTTTGTTTTACAGCGGAGCTGTTAGGGCTAGGTTCCCCAGTATCGTGTCCGGTACCAATTAAATGTCGACACAAAATTACACGAACCTCTGGACAACTACCGCCATCTATAAGCGACGGCAGCAACCAGGCAACCAGTATGGTTGCCGCCGTCGCTCATAGATGGCGGCACCTTTTCCAGCTGTCATGGAAGAATGGATAGTTGGGCGAGTTGGTGGGAATTTATCGAAGGAAACAGCGCGAAAAACAGACGAACACGAAGAAGAAACACACGTGACGAGCGCAGCGGACGTCACGTGTGTTCCTTCTTCGTCCTCGTCTGTTTTGTGCGTTGTTCCCTACGCTCTTATCAGTTTTGGTTTGGACTCACAATAAGTCGGCCGCGTGCCCTTTCTTCGGGGAAAGAAGACCGGGTGCGGAAGGAGCGGCGACATATGCAGCAGCGCGAATGGGTCCGCAACCACCGCGTGCGTCGAGCGCTTCAGATTCCCTTGCGAAAGAAGAGCAGATCGCTCGCCTGGAAAGCCACCGCCGAGAACAGAAGCTACAGCTCCGCTGCTCTTCCTTGTGGAAAAGCTGAAAGTTCTTTTTCTCTGCGTGTTTGGTTTAGCCCGTGAAAACAACGATCACCGGGACGAGACGACACACTTCTTAATCGGCTTGGCTGGCTCCGTCGGGTCGTAGCGTCGGCTGCGCTACCCTTTAAGAAAAAATCTTTTCGCGAAATAAACTGAAAAAGGTTCTTCGGCTTGTCTATATTTCGCACCCTAAAAAAAGTTGTTTTAAAAAAGAGATGCAACGATTTTTGTGCTGCGCACAACTACCTCTTAGAGCGGATCCCTGATGTTAATGACCCCTGAAACACTCGTTCGTTTTTCACCAGAGGCAATCGAAGTCGCAGAAAAAATTAAAGAAAAACGAGCAGCGTTCACCTCCCCAACTCGCAGCCAAAACAAGCGGCCACGTGATCTCGAGTCGATTATATGCCGTCAATGTTGATCATGGCCACGGGCTGGGGTTGGCAAGGCACAGGACACGCACTGAGTTCCAGACATTGTTATGGTTCGACTATTGCCGTCATTGGAGCGATTGGACACAGGTCACTCACAACCGGAATGCTTCTTGAGTTATCGATTATCACGAGTCCAAATCGAGTGCCCACGCAATGCTCGGGACCAATCTATGAGCGGCATTCATATATCGTCACTGGGCGGTACCGCGACCGTCCAGCTACGTCATCAAGTTTTGCGAAGGAGAGATTGAATGAAAATGCTCGCTTTTGTCTTTGAAATTACGCCGCAACAAAGGAGTTATTTGGCCAGTGGCGTTGCGTGCGAGTATACTTGAGTCCCACTAGTGCCAGTAAGCTCGTTTAAAGTGAAAAACATGGAAATTGAATATCTTTGCACCACCCCTTTAAGCAACCCCTAAAAGGGTCCTTCAGGAAAAAACCTAAGAGTAATCCTTTTTCAAACTTCTTTTTTTTTTATGCGAAAGAGTTCTTCATAGGTCAGTTGCCTTTGTAGTGCGCCTGGGGGCGACATAGCGCTTGAGGTGAAACCGTTCTTAAAGTGTCAAAAACATTTCAAAAACTTTTTTTTTTGGGGGGGGGGGGGGGGGGGTGAAATAGAGTGTAGTGAATGATTGTGGGCACCGATATGCTCGCAGTGAGGACGGCATTAACGTCGAGGTCCCAGTAAGGTCATTCCACGCCAAACGATCCAGGTTCGACCGTAACGAAGGACCTTTTCCAAGATAATTTTTGCAATAACTATTTTTATGCTTAGTAGAAGAGCGTGTTGGTTTAAGTCATGGATGAAGAAAGAATAAACAATTGAAACAGGGACAACACAACTACATCTTTCATGAAAGATGTAGTTGTGTTGTCCCTGTTTTAATTGTTTATTCTTTCTTCATCCATGACTATTTTTATGTTTACGACACCTTGAATTTTGTGACCAACAGGTTCCAGGGGGTAAAAATACAATTTTCTTTTTAAAAAGAGTTTGACGCGAAGCTGGAAAATAAGCAGCGTTTTTTTTTTTTTTTTTTAGTAAGGCCGATGTATTATTTTGTACTATCAAATAAGTTTTGTTACACCTTACCAAGCGTTTTTTAGTGTGCAGATCTGTTAAAAATGCCCAAAAAGGCTCAGATTCCCCTCTTAGTCAAAAAATAAACGCACTACCATTTCTAAGACTTAAAACTGATATGTGTTAGTAGTACGGGAAACAAGAAATATTAAAAATAAATTTTGATACAAAAATTGGTTACGATGTTTCATCAAATAAATGAACAATATTGAACATACGGCAAAAGCTCAATATTAAAAACAGAAAACATAAGGGTGGTTGGTCTAAAATATGTACTGAACGGTTATAGAAAGTCCAGAACACACACACAAACGACAGAGGTTAAAGAAAAATAGGTCATTTTTTTTTTAAAGCGAAAACGTAATTTTTGATTTTGGTCCATCGCCAGTATTGAAAATATTGAGAAATATTCTGTTGTCATAGCAAAAACGAAAAGGTGTTCGGTCTATAAATTCATCACCGTTAGATGTAGTTAAAACTGAGAAAACAAAGTTTGAGAAACATTACCTTTTAAAAGAAATTATTTTCACTTCGGTTAATTGCCCGCATTGAACGAATTGCAAAAAAAGCTTAGTTAAAAATAATAAAAATACAAACAAATAGGTGTTCAGTTTAAAAATCCATTCTTAACGGTTGTACATAGTTTAAAGTTCAAACAAAAGTAAGCAAAATTTTAAAAATGTTTGGATTTTTTGTTTTGTTTTTAAATTGGGAAGAATATTTTTTTTGTTCATCATCTTTCTGTTTTTCCGCCCTGGGGCAGAGACGCGCATTATTGCACACGTCAGCACACGATGCTACTAAGCTATAGAGCAAACGACGCCAGCTGCAGTAACTGACAGAATGAGAACTGTAAGGGCGCGTCCTTCGAACACCCGAGCTCCAGCACGCGCGCCCACTGCCTTCCGCCGTGCTCTGGATGCGCGCGCGTGCTCGAACTGCGCGTTACGCCGACGCACCATCTAAGGTAGGAAGCTCACGCAGGAGGCAGGAGAACTGAAGCCTGCCGTTCTAACCCTCTCAGTGGCTATAGTCCGATAGAGAAAGGAGACCATGACAGCAGGTGGCACTGCTGCCGTCCGCGTCTTCATGAGCACAATCTGTCAGATGCGCCGCTATTTTGTGTTAATGGGGTCTTCGAGAAAACTTCATTCAACCAGAGAACCGGATACTTACTGATCTTGCCCAAGTCTCAGGTTATGTTTTAGGCTATTTTCATATTTGTGTACCTTTGATATTCGAAATGAGTGAGCCGACACTGATGGGGACGGGGCCTCTATAGTCGCCTTAAACCTTATCCTCCTAGACTTTTTATCAAAATGAAACGTTTTTTTTTTTAAATTTAAAGAAATTGATTGACCTGAAAGTGCACAAAAGAAAAACCCTATAAAATGAATGGTGCATTTTGTTTTCGGCTAGTTTTTTTAGTAAACATATTTTTGTTTCAGAAGATCATCTTGAGTCGTGCTCCTCGGGTCTAAAAGGCCCCTGCAAAACAAGCGACTAGGGGTAACAAAGTTACATTAAGCCAGTGATAATATATACATATATATATATATATATGTATTTTTTTCTAGTTTTTATAAAATAGTATTTCCTTTACATGTTTCTCGTTTGTGACCTCCGTCACAAGCTACATATAGGCGTAAAGTATGCAGTTTCATACCTCACACCTTATGTTTTTGCTTTGAAAACTGAATATTTTGCAATATTTTCATACTGGCAATGAACGAAAATAAAAAGTTAATTTTTCGCTTTAAAATTTTTTTTTTTCCTACTTTGCTTGTTTGAAGCGTGTGTTCAAGACTATATATCACTGTTGAGTAGATATCGATAAAACAATTACCTTGATAATTTTTATATTTAAGAAAACTGATTATTTTGGTGTATATTCAATATTATCCATTTGTGTCGTGTCGTAAAAGTGTCGTAAAAAATAGTTGTTGCAAAAATACTTTGGAAAAAGGTTTTTTTTTTTTTACATCACAAATAAACCACGCACCTTTTTAGACCATATTCTTGAGGGTCGAGTTTAGGTCTAGAATGTTTGGTGTGACCTCCTGGAGAAACAGACTCCCTTTATGAACCCAAAGAGTTTCGACGTCACTGAAAAAACGTAACAACTGGTTCCTCTGATGCAAAACTATAAATGTGAAGCGTTAGGCACAAATATATGAAAGCATATGCATCGGAGATATTTTTTTAAAAATGGCCTTCCATGATTTTGATAAATACCGATAAAACCCAAAAATAAAAGCTAAATACTTTTTTTTTAATCAAAATACTAAATTTAAGCTTTGAGGGAAGAAAAAAAATGTTATCTACCGTATAAGGCTGCTTCGTTTTTCAAAGCCACGCGCTGTATCTCGTTTCTTTGTCTTATCGGTGCCGGGACACGTTCGAAGTATCCGTGTCAAGGGGTGTCCTGTATAAACACCCCTTCAAGTGTGTGTTCCTTCAAGTTGGGAAATGCCATGCGCATGTCCTGTTTTCTTCAACCTTCGATAAACAAGCTCCTTTCTTTCTTTCTTTTATTGCACCAATACCGTTTCTGCACAATATTGACGCATTTGTTTTTTGTTCTTGGGGGGGAATTACACGTTTTAATTTACTTTTCAGGTTATATTCAAAATCGAGCTCTGCCACGAGGCGCAAGAAAGCCATCCCTCCAACTGAATGCAGGAGACTGGGTGCAAGAAGAAACACGGATACGGGGAAGAAAGCTATTAGTGCTTGTGCAAGGGAGGAACAGAGAACGTCGATAGCATCCTCTGTCGTATTCATGTTTGTACAACGCACGCGGCCGACGGCAAAAACACGGCTTGCCGGAAGGGAGTGCCGGATAGCGGCCGGTTAAAGTCAAGCCAAGCCGAACCCAGTCAAGACAAAAGCCAAGCCAAGATCGCTGGCCGTGTTTACGCAATCATGAAACAGGAGGTGCGTGTTTATGCAGAAAGACCAGAGAATGATTGTGTATCGCTTCCAGCAATCTTTGTTCTGCTTGTGCGTTTTTTTTAGTTTTTCCTTAAGTGGCCTTTTTGTGTTGGTGCTTCGTGTGCTTCGTGAACCTACCGACTTGACACGGTGCGCCTTGTCAAGTCGCACCGTGTCAAGAAAAACAACCTACGAGACAACCTACGAGACAAGCACACCTCCTAAGTGGGGACAGTGGGAGGGAGCTGAGCAGTGACGATGAATGCAGTCGAAACGATATTTGCCCGATTCTCGTAACCACCTCTATTACGCCCTCGAGTGCGGTAACTTTACGTTCGCGTTATAATAGTAATATATTTCTAGTGGCTTCTATACCTGTCCTTTCCGTTATACTCGTGCAAACACAGTAATTGATACCGGAAAACTCAGAATTTGACAAAAAATACCCCCCCTCTCCCTAAAAAAAAAACTTTTTTTTTTGGAGGAAAATAAATTTCGAATAGGAAACCCTACTTATAAAGAGGAATAAACTAAAACTCACCGATGGTGGCCCTGGACTTCTCAAGCTCGGCGAGGACCCGGTTGTCCTGCTGTATCCTCGCCAGAATGCGGTCCACCTCACGGGTCGTGGTCGCCGTCGTGGTCCGGCTCAGCGACAGCTCCGTGCTCTTCTTAGCGGCTATGGGCCGAAGCGAAACAGATTATGCGGCCATACAACAGTCCTTGTACGAGCGCACTAAAATAAGGCGCAAACGTCGCCCTTGGGTCTGTCACAACGGTACTCTAATACCGGTGTTAAACGGGCACTCTTAACCGCAGTAAGCTCACCTTTAACTGCTGTTACACGCCACCACAGTTAGCGCACTATAATCTCGGATAGTCATCTCAGAAGAAGCGAAGAGAGCGCGTGCACTGCTTCGATGGGTGCGCAAGACGCACAAGTGCACGTGCGCCCATAGCTTTGACTGCAGGGCCGCAGATTGTTGTCCGGAAGTATTGTGTGATAAATGTGGCTTAGCATAACTGCAGTTCAGTGCGTCCGTGTAACAAGGGTATAACAGAAGTACGCATAAACCGCACTATGGACCATTTTCGGCAATCGCCGGTTCAGAACCTACTCGTAGAAAATTACGTGAGCACGTGCTCAAGCGAGCGCGGGCACTCCCTCGGTCATGAAAGCTAGATCCTGCAGCGCTCTCTCGAGCTGCAGTGACCTAGATCGGGCTCGTTCAAAGTCCCTTGTATGTCTTTTGTGGCTTATATTTTCGACACCAAGTTCCCTCTATATAAGAGGCTTCTTCGCTCTCCTTCCTAATGCGCGCACTGTTTCATCCTGGGAATCCTCGAACCCCGTTTTTCACCACGTGGCGCCTGTTATTTCTAAAATGGTGGATAGGTACTATGACAAGAACAATGTTGGCAACTCCAGGAAAACGATTTCTGACCCGCGTTCTAGCTCCAGGCTCTAGCCTATTAAGATGCATTTCTGAGTGCACGGATATATTAAAATGCGGATACAGCACTTGATTTCTCCGTGCCAGGCACGTAGCCAGGATTTTGTTTCGGCGGGGGGGAGAAGGGGGGGGGGGGGGCGCGGCGCCCATGACAAAATGCTGTATGAGGGGAGGGGGGAGGGGAGGTCAAGCAAAATGGAAGATTCCAAGTTTGGGGGGGGGGGGGCCCATGCCCCCCCCCCCCCCCCCCCCCCCCCCCCCCCTCTTTGGCTACGTGCCTGGTCCGTGCACGAGGAGGCTAACATATCTCAAAGCTGTGTAAACAAATAAGACAGAGAAAAAAAAAAGCGTTACGTACAGTCGTAGCCACAGCGTGCCAGCTGGAGCCGAAAAATAGAGTATATTTGGCAGGTGGTTCCAATAACTTCGATAACGATACCTCATTTTCCGCCGGTGCGTTTGTACATCGTATTGTTGTCAGCGGAATCGGGAGAATATATTACAACTCTTTATTTAAGGGTCTGCAATACGTAACAGTACTTCAACAAATGCGTTTTTTACTCACAAACGTCACAAAGTAGCGCAGACAAGCAAATGGAAGAAGACAAAAAAAAAAAAACAACTCTGAATACACACAAACTAAAATGCTGCCTTCTCTAAATCCTTAAAAATATCACAATCCAAGTATACGTTACAAAACAACTGACAAAAAAAAAAAAAAAAAAAAAAAAAAAAAAAAAAAAAAACGCGCCAAACATAGAACAAAGGAGGAATGAAAGGTCCACTTACACTCGGAGGGGAATGAAATGCTGGACGGATCGGACTCGAAATAAACCGTCAGAACTGAAGAACACAAACAACACAAAAACAACCGTGAAAACAAGAAAAGGTCAGAACTGAAGACTCCGAAAACAGCATAAGCATGCGCACAACGAATTCTGCTCCGTCACTGACAAGGTGAGAACGGCAGGAAGGAGGTTTAGTTGTCCCGCCCCCAGTGCGAACTTCCTGTCTTCGAAGACGCTTCGGCGTCTAAAGTGAGCCTCGAGGGCGCGCGCGCAGCCAAAGCACGGTGGGAAGGCAAAGAGCGCGTGCTGGAGGCCGAGTGGTCGAAAGACGCACCCTTCCGTTCTCGCTCTGTCGATGCAAGAACGAAGTGGAAGCTCCTCCCACCCCTTTCCACTTTAGTAGTGCGAACGCTGGAGGGGGAGGCGACCTCCTCTCCACCGTTCGCTCCGCTGAAGTGGGAATGGGCGGGAGAAGCTACCACTTCGTTCTTGTCCTGTCACCGACTATAGAGGGCGTTGTTTTATGCTTCGTCTCAAGCACCGTGTGCAGTGCTAGCAACGTTACATGCGCGAGAGCGCTGTTATGTCGAATGCGTCACGTGCGTGTACGTGTGGGCGGAAACACATTTTGCAGAGCAGCGCTCTCACATCCACAGAACTCCGGAGAACGCTCGTTCGATATGAAATAAGGCAGTTGTAGAGACCATAGAGTTATTACAATAAACGCTGGAGGCTCAGATGGCTCTAGTGCCTAATGGACTTCCGGTTGCAAATTGAAGCAGACAGCGGTCTACTTTTCTAGTCTTCCTGTGTATTCCCAAGGGAAAACGTACGTGATATTTTTTTCTTCGCAAGAAAATAATAGAAATCAGCGTACTTGCTTTACTCGTAACGGGTACAATGTACCTTTATTTACATTATAAAAGTGTACGTTATTTAGTTAATGCGTTCTTTTAGTACTGAGCGATGTTTAAGTTAGCAAAAATTGAGTCCCGGATATGTTGTACAGCTTAATACGTCAATACAAGCTACCCATTCAAGAACAAAATATGAAAGACGTTTACAATTCTTTGTGACGCCGAATTGGAGCGCAGCTATTGAGGAGGAGGAGGGGAGGGTACGGAGGGAAAGGTATGCGCCTTCTCCTTCCCTACTAAATTTAGCGGGAATGTTGGCAATGTTAGATGCGTGGACGTCACGTGACGTCACGTGTGACGTCATACGCCACGTGACGTCACAAGTCACGTGTTTCCCATAATGACGCCAGACGTGGCGTCACGAGGGTAACGTTTGAACGTTACCCTCGTGACCCTCACGGGGGTTACGCTTACAAGGGTTACACTTACGAGGGTAACCCTCACGAGGGTAACCCCCGTGAGAGTTATTCTCACCCCCGTGAGGGTAACGTAACCACCGTGAGTGTAACCACGTGAGTGTAATCCTCGTGAGGGTTATCCTCACAGGGGTTACGTTACCCTCATCACGGGGGTGAGGGTAACCCTCACGAGGGTAAGCCTCAAGGGGGTTACCCTCGTAAGGGTGACCCCCGTGACGTCACGTGTGAGGTTACACGTCCCATAATGCAACGCGCGGTTACGCCGACGGTGATGCAGACGCCGCTCAACCCGTAAACGGGCGCCTAAGAGCTGCGCTCAAAAAGAACAATTAAAACACGCCTAGGGTTTATCCAAGCTGTAATAGCATTCAGATGATGGAAAAGCAGTTAGTTACTTACGCACAGTTTGTTACTAATGTAGTACGTGTTCTTCGTTTAATAACTCCACGCTTCGTTCTTGTTGTTTGTTTTGATTGTTTGATTAGACATATATTAGCATCCTTTTGGTGTGTGTCAAGTTGATTCCTTTTTTGTGCTTTATAGTATTGCCTATGTGCGTAAATGCGCGGCCTGTAATAGCAGTGTGCAACGTCAACACGTATTATACATGTGCATTGGGCTATTTTAGCGCAGTGTTCAACGCCATTAATTTCGAAGAAAAACGCTCTGACATATTTTTGTACATCCGATTGTAAAACGTTCTAACCTTTCTATTTTGTCACAACAGTAAGCAAAATGTGCTCTTATAATCAAGCGCGAAGAGAAAACGCATTTGCGTTTTCCCATAGGAATGCATTACCGGAAGTCAAATTTATACTGTTTGCTGTCTGCTTCAAAATGCAACGGCACACTAGCGCCATCTGAACCTCTGGCGTTTATTGCGATAACTCTATGGTGGAGCCAGCTCTCGAATAAAACAGTAGCCAAGGCTCGGCATGCTGCGGCTCAGCGTCTACGCGGACAAGCACCACCAGAGCTTCGCCCCAATCAACATCATTCACCAGGTGGAGATGCGTTTTTTTTTTTTAATTCTTTTCGTTGTGATTCGTTGTACCGAGTTCTGTAGAAAAACGAGCTCGCGGACCTTTTTTCTAGATTGTACCGGAAGCTCGTCATTAGTTTGCCCCACCAGCCCTCGGAACTTTGGGATTTTCCACCAAACATTCTATACACCCACCCGTTCGGAAGATGGCTCATTGAAAAGCACGGTGGCAATTTCATCGGCATAAAAATTTCGCCCGCGCAATTGTCTACATCAAGCACAATATTCTGAGCGCTCAAAAGTTTTGCGCGTGTATTTTCCTTCCCGGCGCCGCGAAGGTGATTTGCTGCAATTGGGTAGACTAGTAAACGAGTAAGCGTGAAGCTGATCACTCCATCGCCGCCCGTAGTCCATTCTTCATATTATTCTATCCCGCTCATGTTTCTTTTGTTCACGTATCCTTTCGCCCCATAACCCCTCTTTCCCAGCGCAGTTGAAGAATCCTGCTCCTCAGCACGATCATTCAATCCCCACTAAGTGAGAGGTCGGTTGTGGCAATTAATACAATCTACTGAACGTGTAGGTTGCAGTGATTGCGGAGCAAAAAAGAGAAAGGGAGATAAGAAAAACAGCAACAAAAACAATGAACCTATCTTCACAGTTCTAGTTAAATTATATGCTATGCTGTGCTGTGCTGAAGACTCACTCTTGCACTCTACCGGCTTTGTGCTGTGCCTTTTAGCCAGGATTTTGTGACCCTAGATACCCTCCCATTCAGCGTTTGAGTTTCGGTGACTGTCATATCTCTGATATTGCCTTTTTTGTGCCCTTCCTTTCTCATTCCGTTCACCTCTTATACCATAATAATTATGAATCATAATTCTTCCCACTTTCAAATTATAAAGAGGACGGGGCTGTTATTGAAGTTGCTGATTTCTCCACAACCTTCCTTTGTTCCCTTTCTCTCACCCCCACCCCCTCCTTTTACTTCCCTACCAGGTTTGCCAAAGTCGGGAGAAAAAAACAAACAAAAAAACTACGCCGCCCACTGAGAGGCTTAACCATCCAACCCGCCCACTGCACAACAGAACACAGCCAAGACAAACCAGACTGCCCCCCTCCCCCCTTTCCGTATAAATTCCGTTTTCGTATACACTTGAAACATGCCGTTCCCTTTTTGTTTTTGTTTTTCAGCATTTACTGAAATTAGCTCTGACGGTCTGACGAAGTTGAGTCAACTGTAGAGGGCCAGTTGCACAGACCAGTATGCGGGACTGTGACCTGTTCCTTTAAGTAACCGCTTTAAAGAAGCACGAACTCTCTTCGTAATGCCCATCGGCGTAGCGGTAGTGCTCGGCCGTGGCTTCATCCCTAAAGGTTGAGTGTGTTTATCGGCTGAATTGCTAACAGGGGGAGGACACGGCCCGCCTCGGCTGGCAACTTGTACCGACTTACCCTCACGAGGTCGTTTCGATAGCTTCGAGATGTAAGTGAAAGAGTGCAGGTCCATAATTTAAGCCCGCTTTTGCTTTTACGCCCAGCCGCTTTATTTCCTGACAGCGTCCGAGCGGCACAAATTTCTTTCGAGCTTGTTTATTGCTTTAAGGAGTGTTTCCTGCCGCTTGTTCTGGGGGACCGGAGCAACCGAGGAAGTGTGCTTAAGTTCTTTGTTAGTATATATATATATATATTATTATAGTGAAAATATGGCTTATTTATAAAAGAGTAACGGTGGTTGGGATAGCGTGGAGTTGTCGCTCCCAGCTTCAGAGATGGAGTCGTCTTCTCTTTTTTATTTCACCTCTACGTCCTTTTTCCTCTATGTAATATTACACCGCCGCCGGAAAGGAACGACGTCCCGTCGTTGAGTTATCAAGTCGATGACGGGAGGAGGTAGCCTTTCAGACGAAGCACGTGAACTGTGTCTCGTTGTGCCCGGCGTCTATTGGTCCTTCGTTCAGAGATTCTATCAAATATGTAACGTCACTGGATTTCTGGATTTGTGATGAATAGGATATGGTCCAGTATAGCGATGCAGAAGCTTCTCGGAAAGTCCGATATGGCGTCGTGGTGTTCAAACAAAAACAAGATCACCGGGAGAAAAAACAACACGTTGATGAGAGCGATCGCAGCGGGCGCGCTGGCGTTCTTGAGAGTCAAGCGTGCGCAGGCGACCTGATTGACGGGATTCTTCAGCTCGGCTTACGAAGTCGGCTGAAAATGCGGTCAAGGGAGCTTCTGGTTGAAGTGGAAAGAGAATAGAGCATTAACGGAGGTTCACGCCCGAAGAGGAGCTAGAAAGACGTGAAACCAGAAGTGCCCTGGCGGGATGAATTGTGCGCAAAAGTAATAAATGAAAGCGCAGCATCCCAATTCTTGTGATCCGATGACACGTACATTGACAGCATGTCGGTAAGAGTCCTGTTCAATCGCTCAGTTAGGTCATTCGTTTGTGGATGGTAAGCGGTGGTGACTTGATAGCGAACGGAACAGCACTGCAATATCTCGAATCCTACGCGGGACAAGAAGGAGCGTCCGCGTTGGCTTAGAAGTTCTCGAGGGGATCCATACTGAAATATCACATCCTCCAAAAGGAACTGGGCGAGGTCAACAGCTGTGCTGGTCGGCGGCGCTCCTTTGATAGCATATCGAGTGGTGTGGTTGATTGCAACGGCGATCAAACGGTTGTCAGCGCTGGACAAAGGGAAAGGGCCTAGGAAGTCCACCCCGAGTCGTT